CGGAGCCTGTCCCCCTCCGGCTCCACTTCCTGGTCCCAGGCCCCGGACCGGCTTTCTCGGGAGGCGGTGGAATTCTCTGGGACTCGGGCAGCGCGATGCGGGCGCTGATGGGGCCTAGCGGCTGGGCGGCCGTGGCCAGGTGCGGACACGAGCCTGAGCCTGCTCGACCCCGGTGGTCCCAGGGTCACTGTCCCCCCCTATTGGGCTTCCACGTCGGATTTGATTGGGTTGCATGTGTGTGTGCGTTTTTCTCAGGATTCTGTGGCTTTCAAAAAAAGTTTGAAAAAATCCCTGGGCTCGCAGTTTTTACCACCAAGAAAACTGAGGCTCAGAGAGGAAGTGACTTATCTAAGATCACACAGCAAATGCGAGCCGGGCAGGGGCTGGAAGTCACAATTTCAGGGGAGCCTTTAAGTGTCTGTAACAGGACCTGGCTTGGTGGTGGGAGAGGCCGGAAGGAGAGACGGGATCAGGTTTCCCCGGGCAGCCTGGTCCCAGCCAGACCCCCAGACTTGGGGGTAGGTTCAGTGTGGGTGCCTCGGAGAGGCTGTCGGTTTCCGGAGGTTCCCGGGGGCCGAGGAAAAGAGAGGACACAGCCAGGAAGAGCACCCACAGCTCCCTCCGGCCACAGCCGAGTCCCATGTGAGAGGGCATCACGGGAGGCTAGAAATACAGCAAGAACGGGGACTCCGGGTGAGTCAGAGTCTGGGATGGGGGTGGGGAGAAGCCCATTCATTCATTGTTCTCAGCGCCTGCTCTTTGGGGAAATGGGGGGTCCGAGCTCCCTCCAGGATGCTGCGGCAGGGCTGTCTGGGGAGGGGGGGGTGTCGGGGCTCTGTGGGAGCCATACCCCCTTGCCCTGCCACAGTGGGGAATGTTGGCCCCAGCGAGCACGCCCTTGCCTGGGGATTGTTCGTTGGTGCCTGTTTTCTTTCCGGGTGCTGCAAGGTAATTAAATAGTTGGTTAATCACCTTTAACGCCAAGCAGCTGCCGCTCGCTCCATCCACTGTCGGGCCGGGAGCTTGGGCTCGAACCAAATGAGCCCCGTCTTAGTGTGGGGGTTCCAGCAGCAGGGCTCACAGCTCTGTGGTCAGGGGGTGACTTTGCATGACGCCTGGACCCAGGAGGCAGCTATCATGGTGGCAAAAGGGGGAGAAGAGGCCCCCTTTCCATCCGTTCCCAGAGCCCCAATGTCCTCTGTTAAATGAGGGCCTTGGGGTCCCTTCACGCCCTGGGGCCGGCGGTCTGGCTGTCCAGCCATTGCTTAGACCAGCTTTCTGGAACTGGGCCGCCCCAGGCCTCCTGGGGCTGTGGCTTCCGAGCCTGTCCCCTGAGAGCCATGTGGACTTTGACCCTCCAGGGTGAGGAGCGATGCCGCCTGCCATCAGCTGTCAGGTTATTTTGGTGTAAACTGAAAATACTCCAGGAATAGCCCGAGTCCCCCCGGCCGGCGTGGTGGGGCTGCGGCCGGAGGAGCAGTGTAGCCGCGGAGGCTGGTCGTGGCTGCGGGCAGCCCTGGAGAAGTGAGGGGTTCCCAGGGGTGAGCCTGCCCGCCCAGCTCCCGGGGGAGCGT